GGCTAGAGTGCCGTGGTATCAGCCTAGCTCACAGCAACCTCAAACTCCAGGGCTCAAGCTATCCTCCTGCCTCAGCCTCCCGAGTAACTGAGACTTCAGGCATGCGCCACCACACCCAGCTAATTTTTTTTTTTCTATTTTTAGTTGCCCAGCTAATTTTTTTCTATTTTTAGTAGAGGTGGGGTCTTGCTCTTGCTGAGGCTGGTCTTGAAATCCTGGCCTCAAGCAATCCTCCTCCCAGAGTGCTTGGCCTCCCAGAGTGCTAGGATTATGGGCATGAGCCACTGCGCCCCCGCCAGCATGGCCACATTCTATTGGTCAGAAGCAAGTCGCCAGTGCAGCCCACACTCAAGGAGAGGAGGTTACACGAGGGCATGAATACCGGGAAGGAGAATCTGTCTTAGGCACTTTGGGCTGCTGTAACAAAATACCTTAAACAATAGACATTTATTTCTCACAGTGAGTTCTAAAGGCTGGGAAGTTAAAGGTCAAGGTGCTTTCAGACTCTGCCTGGCGAAACCCCTCTTCCTGGTTTGCCACCAGCGGCCTCCTTGCTGTATCCTCACATGGGAGAAAGAGAGAGGGCTCTGGTCTCTTCTTATAAAGGCAGTAATCCCATCGTGGGGGCTCAACCCTCGGGACCTCATCTAAACCTAATTACCTCCCAAAGGCCCCACCTCAAAATAACTTCACATTGGGCATTCAGGCTTCAACATATGAATTTCAAGGGGTAATAGAGGAAAACCCCCTTTTTCCTATACATTCACACACTTCTCTTCTGACACCAGATGGATGGGTTTTACCCAAACCAGCCAATTCTCCAACTCTCCAGACACCCCCTGGGTACCTTACAATTAAATTATGACACTAAGTACCTAGAGTTAGTTCAGACCCCACAGGTTAATGGCACAGTCCCACGAGACTGCTCCCCACTTCAGATGCCAGCTGCAAGTAGTGGGTCCCCTGATTACTCACACTTCTGTCCAATGTGGCTACAAATTGGGGGTTCCCACAACCCTCTTCTCAGTTTCGATAATTTGCTACAACAGCTCACAGAACTCAGGGAACACATTTACCAGTTTATTATCAATGATATGATAAAGGATACAGATGAACAGACAGATGAAAAGGGACATAGGGTGAGATCTGGAAGGGTCCTGAGCCCAGGAGTTTCTGTTCTTTTTTTTTTTTTTTTTTTTGCCTGGGCTAAAGTGAGTGCCGTGGCATCAGCTTAGCTCACAGCAACCTCAAACTCCTGGGCTCAAGCGATCCTCCTGCCTCAGCCTCCCAGGTAGCTGGGAATACAAGCACGCGCCACCATGCCCGTCTAATTTGTTTATGTATATATATATTTTTAGTTGTCCGGCTAATTTCTTTCTATTTTTTTTAAGAGACGGGGTCTCACTCTTGCTCAGGCTGGTCTCAAACTCCTGAGCTCAAACGATCCGCCCGCCTCAGCCTCCCAGAGTGCTAGGATTACAGGCGTGAGCCACCGCGCGAGGCCAGGAGTTTTGTTCTTGTGGAGTGCGCCACACCTGGCACATGGATGTGTTCACCAATCTGGAAGCTCTCTGAATCCCATCTTTTAGTCTATAGCCACACCACCCTGAACATGCCCGATTGCGTCTGAATCCCATTTTTAGGGATTTTTATAGAGGCTCATCACATAAACATTATTGATTATGTAGGTTATTAAATATGAAATGTCTGATTTTGAATCAAAAGTTTAATTTATTGTATCTCAAACAAGAAGCAGTACAATTAATAAAAGTATGTGCCTAAACTATCAACATGGTTTTGCCATCTTAACGGTCGCTTGTATATGCCAGCAGTGAAGAGGCCTGGAGAGCAAGTGGCGATGAAATTACAAAAGGCGTTTTCCACATTTTGTTGAGAATTGAATATTTTTCCTTGAAAGAAGTGGCTCCAAAGCCTGGAAGTAGTGATAGTCAGTTGGTACAGGTCTGGTGAATATGGTGGATGACAGAGAGTTTCCAAGTTCAGCTTCTGTAGTTTGAGCGGCGCTGTGTTTTACAACGTGTGGTCTTGCAAGAGGATTGGCCTGTCTCTACTGACCAATCTCAGCTGCTTAATTGTGAGCATCCTCATCATTTCGTCCAATTGCAGTAGACATCTGCTGTAATTGTGATTGACCAGGTTTCATGAAGCTATAGTGGATAATACCAGCGCTGGACCACCAAACAGACACCATTAGCTTTTTCTGATACACATTCGATTTTGGACTGTGTTTCAGCACCTCATCTTTATCCAGCCATCTGTGCCAAACATTTGCAATTGTCAGAAAGGATCCATTTTTCAACACACGTAACAATATGATGTAGAAATGGTTTGCCTTTTTGTCATGACAGCAAAGAAAGGCAAGCTTTGAGACGATTTCTCTTCTGACACTCACTTAATTCGTGCGATACCTATCTATCCAGCTTCTTTATGTTGCCAATTTGTTTCAAATGGTCCAATATTGTTGGAATGGTAATGTCAAACCTTGCTGCTAATTCATGCATAGATTGAGATGGATTCACTTCCACTACAGCTTTCAGCTCATCATTATCTACCTTGGTCTCAAGTCGCCCATGTGGCTCATTTTCAAGATTAAAATGACCAAAAGAGAACTTCTCAAACCATCTATGTACTGTGCATTCATTAGCCACATCCTTCCCAAACACTTCATTGATACTTTGAGCTGTCTGCACTGCATTGGTTCCCCAACAGAACTCATATTAAAAAATAACCCAAATTTTTTTTGGCCGGGCATGGTGGCTCACGCCTGTAATCCTAGCACTCTGGGAGGCCGAGGTGGGGGATCGTTCTGAGCTCAGGAGTTCGAGACCAACCTGAGCAAGAGCGAGACCCCGTCTCTACTAAAAATAGAAAGAAATTAATCGGATAAAAATATATGTAGAAAAAAAATTAGCCGGGCATGGTGGCGCATGCCTGTGGTCCCAGCTACTCGGGAGGCTGAGACAGTAGGATTGCTTGAGCCCAGGAGTTTGAGGTTGCTGTGAGCTAGGCTGACGCCATGGCACTCGCCCCAGGCAAGAGAGTGAGACTCTGTCTCAAAAAAAAAAAAAACCCAAATTTTTGACTTATCCATGGTTTCACAAAAATTGCTCTAAAAAAATTTTGAAAGATAATCACAAGCCAAAATGTGTGTTTGAAAGAGCGAGGATGTACCTTCACAATAAAAAAAAAACAAAAACAAAAAAACCAAGAAGTGTTAAAGTGAAATGTCAGAGATACCAACTGTCAAACTTAGTACTTAAGGAAATCGGACATTCCATACTTAATAACCTAATATTAACTCAATTTCTGGGTCCTCTCCCTTCCCTGCAGGATGGGGGGAATGGGACTGAAAGTTCCAAGCTTCTCATCATGACTTGGTCTTTCTTGTGACCAGCCCCCATCTGGAAGCTATCCAGAGGCCCACCAAGAGTTGCCTCATTAGAATAAAGATGCTCCAATCACCAAGAAAATTCCCAAAGAGTTAGTAGTCCTGTGCCAGGAACCAGGGGCAAAGCCAAATGTATATTTCTTATGTCACAGGGGCATACAAACATTCAGTCCCTAGCAGGATCATTGAGGTCCATCATTGAAAGCTGTCCATCACAGTTGGTACATATATTTAGGTTTCTTTATTCTCAGATACAGTGTTTTCTGTTAGACTAAACCATCTGATATGTGGTAGTTATCAAACACTAATATGCTCACAGTGGTAGCCTGAATAGTGGCCCTCCAAAGATGTCTACATTGTAATCCTCAGAATCTGTGAATATGTTACCTTAGATGGTACAAGGGATTTTGCAGATGTGGTCAAATTAAATATTTTGAGATAGATTATCCTAGATTATCCAAGTGGGACCAATGTAATCACAGGGTCCTTAGGCAGGAGGATCTGAATCAGAGAAGGTGATATGACAACAGAAATAGAGGAGAGGAGAGGTGATGATGGAAACAGAGGGTGGGATGGTGTGGCCATAAGCCAAGGAATACGGGCAGCTTCTTGGAGATTGAAAAGGCAAGTAATGGATTCTCCCCTTGGGCTTCCAGGAGGAACTCAGCTGACACCTTGATTTTAGCTCCATAAAACCCATTTAGTACTTTTGATCTCCAAGACTAAAAGATTATAAATTTATGTTCTTTTAAGCCACTAGGTTTGTAGTAATTTGTTCCAGCACCAATAGGAAACTAATACACTCACCAAGACCTTGGGAAAACCCACTTGTGGAGTATTTTAAGGAACAAGGGGCTTAGGTAGAAGGTATAGGATAATGGGCTTCCAAAGGCTTTTCCTGCTCTCTAGTGACTCTGAAACACAATTTACACATTGTAGCCTCTCTATTTGTAGGAAATTGTTCTTAGTTCTCTAAAATACTAAATCTTATGAATATTGAACAGGTGAAAAAAAAAAGTCTTAAGGTTAAAGATGGACCTGGGTCTCACATACTCTTCCAAATAAAACAAAAACATGGCCGGCCGCGGTGGCTCACGCCTATAATCCTAGCACTCTGGGAGGCCGAGGCAGGCGGATTGTTTGAGCTCAGCAGTTCAAAACCAGCCTGAGCAAGAGCGAGACCCCGTCTCTACTAAAAATACAAAGAAATTAATCGGACAACTAAAAATATATAGAAAAAATTAGCCCGGCATGGTGGCGCATGCCTGTAGTCCCAGCTACTTGGGAGGCTGAGGCAGGAGGATTGCTTGAGCCCAGGAGTTTGAGGTTGCTGTGAGCTAGGCTGACACCACGGCACTCACTCTAGCCTGGGCAACAAAAGCTAGACTCTGTCAAAAAAAAAAAAAAAAAATGATATATTTAACAGAGGACACTAAGGCTTCCATTTGTAAAGCTGGTTGCTTATTATTTATTTGAACCTCAGGACTGGAAATATTGGCCAAGATAAAAGTTCCGGGCACAAATTGCTTTTACTTCTGGGTGTTTCACAGCCAGATGTTGTGAAATTCTTTTGTTTTTCTTTTTTCTGTAGTGCCTGGAAACCTTGGCTGCTACAAGGATCATGGAAACCCACCTCCTCTGACTGGCACCAGTAAAACGTCCAACAAACTCACCATACAAACCTGCATTAGTTTCTGCCGGAGTCAGAGGTTCAAGGTAATGGCTCTGTGTCTATGGAACAATAGAAAAAGATAAAGATGGAACTGCATTTTGCTGAGATAACTTAAAAATAAGTGCTAAGCAAAATAAGCCAGGAACAAAAGGCCACATGTTGTATGATTCCATTCACATGAAGTGTCCTGAAGAGGCAAATCCATATAGACAAAAAGTAGGTTAGCGGTTGCCAGAGGGTGGGAGGTGGGAGGAATTGGGACTAACTGCTAATCAGTGCAGGGTTTCTTTTCAGGGTGATGAATGTTCTGGAATGAGATAGTGGTGGTGGTTACACAACTCAGTGAATATACTAACAACCACTGAAATATACACTTCACAATGGTGAATTTTATGTTATGTGAATTGTATTTCAATTTTTAAAAGGGCTAAGACTACTAAACTTCAAGAAAAATAAAAAAATCTTACAACATTGAGTTAGACAAAGATTCCTTAAATAGGACATAAAAAACATAAACCATAAAAGAAAAAATCGGTGAAATGAACATGTCAATATTAAAAACTTATCTTGAAAAAATAGAATTAAAAAATGAAAAGGCAGGCCACATACTGGGAGAAAATAGTTGCTAAATATATATCTGATAAAGGACATATACAGAATATATAAAGAACTCTTAAAACCTCAATAATAAAACTCAATTAAAAAATGGGCAAAAGATTTGAACAGACATACTCCCCACAAAAAAAAATATATAGATGGCCAATAAACACATGAAAAGGTGCTCACCTTCCCTAGTTATCAGGGAAATAAAAATTAAAACCACAATGAGATACCACTATACACCCAGAATGACTAAAATAGTAAGAATTGGCAAGGATGTGGAGCAAGTGTAACTCTCATAGACTGCTGGTAGGAATGTAAAATTGTACAGCCTCTTTGGAGAAAGATCTTGAAGTCTCTTTTCTTTTCTTTTTTTGGTGGGGGTGAGTGGGGACAGAGTCTCACTCTGTCGCCCTGGATAGAGTGCAGTGGTGTCATCGTAGCTCACTGCATCCTCAGACTCCTGGGCTCAAGGAATCCTCCTGCCTCAGCCTCCTGAGTAGCTGGGACTTACAGGCACGCGCCATGACGCCTGGCTAATTTTTCTATTTTTAGTAGAGATGGGGTCTCGGTCTTGCTCAGGCTGGTCTTGAACTCCTGAGCTCAAGCAATACTCCCGCCTTGGCCTCCCAGAGTGCTAGGATTACAGGTGTGAGCCACTGTGCCAGGCCTTGAAGTTTCTTATAAAGATAAATATACATCTATCTTACAACTCAGGAATACCATACCTGGATATTTGCTCAAGATAAAATCTAGCTCACACAAAGACTTACACATCAGTGTTCATAGTAGCAGCATCCATAATAGCTCCAGTCTGTAAATAACCCAAATGTCCATTAACTGATGAATGGATAAACGAATTGTAGTATATCCATAACTGTGGAATGCTACTCGATAATATTAAGACATATTGATACACACAACAATATGGATGAATCTCTAAAACGTTATACTAATTGAAAGAACTCAAACATAAAAGACTACATACTGAACTCAAAGTATTGATTCTAGATCTAACTCTAAAGTGTAAAACTTTAAAACTTTTAGAAGAAAATAGAGGAGAAAATCTTCATGACTTGGATTTAGACAACAAGTTCTTAGTGATAACACCAAATTCATAACCCATAAAAAAAATTGATACATTTTAATGTGGACTTCTCCAAAATTAAAAACTTTTGCTCCATGAAAGATAATTTTAAGAGAATGAAAAGACAAACTATAGCCTGGGAGAAAATACTTGCAAATCACATATGCGACAAAGGACTTGTATCCAGAGTGTGTTTAAAAAAGAGACAAAACCTCTAAAAACCCAATAGTAAAAAAAAAAACCAAAAAACAATGCAATTTAAAAATGAGTAAAAGGCCTGAACAGATACTTCACAAAGGGGATTATACAGATGGCAAATAAGCACATGAAAAGATAATCAGCATCATCAGCATTAGGTAATGTGGTTAAAACCACAATGAGATACAATTACACAGCTATTAGAATGGCTAAAATAAAATATACTGACAATAATAAGCGCGGCAAGGATACGGAGTAACTGGGACTCTCATACATTGTTGTTGTGGACGTAAAATGGTACAGTCATTCTGGAAAAGTCTGGCTGTTTCTTATAAAGTTAAACATGTGCTAATCATGAAAAACTAGAAACAGCTCAATGAATGAACAAACTGTGGTACATCCATACAGTGAACTCTGTTCAGCAATGAAAAGAAGCAAACTATTGATACACACACCAATTTGGATGAACCTCAAAGACATCATGCTGAGTAAAAGAAGCTAGTCTAAAAATGTCACATTTATGTGACATTCTAGAAAAGACAAAACTGTAGTAACGGAAAACCAGTCAGTGGTTACCAGGGGTTCCAGGGGAGTGAAGTTTAAAGCAATAGCACAAGAAAGATTATTGGGGTGATGCAACTGTTCTGTGTCCCGATTGTACTGGTGGTTGCACAAATGTATACAAGTGTTAACACTTATAGAACTATATACCAAAATACTACATGGTAATACAAAAAAATAAAAATTTTAAACGGGGCCTATGATGAGTTTGCTTTGAGAATTAGCTACAAAGCCCTTACTACCTGGCACATAGTAAATAGTCAATAAAATATTTAGCTGTTATTATTATTCATGTTTCAAGTTTATGAGATCTTCTCCCCTCTAAAGCTTATTTAACTACAGCAGAAACACAACATTAAAAAGGGATGCTCACTGACATTGGTGGTGTGTAGTTACTGGTCAGCTTGGAATTAAACGTGGCAAAGTGGGAAAAGGGAGAGGTCCCAGGGGAAGGGTGGTTAGGGAGATGAGGCTGATTGCTTGCTGGGGACTGACCCTGCCAGGTTCCTTCGGGCCACCTGACACCCCTGGTGATGCTTACCATGTGCTGCTTCTGTTACGGCAGTTTGCTGGGATGGAGTCAGGCTATGCTTGCTTCTGTGGAAACAATGCTGATTACTGGAAGTACGGGGAGGCGGCCAGTACCGAGTGCAACAGCGTCTGCTTCGGGGATCACTCCCAGCCCTGTGGCGGCGATGGCAGGATCATCCTCTTTGATAGTGAGTATGCCCTGTGCCCATCACTGCACAAGGCACGGGAACCCTTGGACCAGAGCAACAAGCCTGCCCGCCCTCCCTCCTTTCCATTTATTCATTCATTCTCTTGGCAATACTCACGAAGCGCCTACTACAGGCCAGGCACTGACCAGACCTTGGGAATATGCACAGAGCATGAAGACTCAGCCCTCACCTTCCAGAAGGAAGGACAGATATTTAACAAGTGATGAGCTACAGTCTCGCCAGTTGGTCTGAAACAACGTGGCCTAGTGAAATGCTAAGACAAGGTAGAAAAGATAAACTTTCTGGTTTTACAAAGACACTGATATAACTGTTCAGTGTCAGCTCTGATATCCTCTTGCTTCTGTATAATTTCCAAGCTCTTCCAAGCTCTTTGGCTTTTTTAGGCATTTGGGATTTATATCTTACTGTGAGTTGTTTTCCCAGGCCTGGCATTGGGTTTGCCCTGACCCAGCGCCTCTCTGAACTGCCAGATTTGTAAGATACTGGCTAGGGGCAGAGTGTGTTCTGAATGGGGTATGGATCTGGAGCGGTGATCTCTCCAGTGCCATGTTCTAACCACCGAATACCTGCTTTCTCGTTGAATTGACCTGTAACCACTCAGTGGTAGTGAGACTTTGTGAGAGTCGTAGCACCAGTGCAGCAATAGATTTTAAGATGGTAAAAAGGAGTTAGTTGTAAATGAGGCAGACAAAAGAAAAGGCTTGATATTACCAAGAAATATTACATTATGTCTATAGTATCTTTTTGGTCATTAGGCTAGAGAAGATCTCAACCACTAATGACATCTCAACTAGGCACAGTGGCTCAGTTTTGAGCAAAAATGTCCTATAATGTATAGGACCTATACCCGTAATGTCCTATAGTGTATAGTGTTTTGGCACCCAGGGCTGCCAAAACAAATTATCACAAACTGGGTGGCTTAAAACAACAGAAATTTATTCTCTCACATTTTGGCTAGAAGTCCAACATAAGGCCGGGTGCAGTGGCTCACACCTGTAATCCCAGTGACTTGGGAGGCTGAGGCGGGAAGATCTCTTGAGCCCAGGAGTTGTAGGGTACAGTGGGCTATGATTGCACTAGTGCACTCCAGCCTGGGCAACAGAGCAAGACCCTATCTCTAAAAATAATTAATTAATTAATTAATTTTTAAAAGTCAAGGTGTCAGCAGGGCCATCCTCCTCCAAAGGGTCCAGAGAAGCCTTCCTAGCTTCTGGAGGTTGCCAACAATCCTTGGCATCTATTGGCTTGTAGCTGCATCACTTCATCTTCACATGGCCATCTTTCCTCTGTTTTTGTCTGTGTGTGTGTCTATGTCTCTGCATATGTCTATGTCTCTGTGTGTTTCCTTAAAAGGATACCAGTTATTGGATTTAGAGCTCATCCTAATCCAGTACGGTCTCATCTTGACTCAATAACATCTGTAAAGACCCTATTTCTGAATAAGGTCACATTCATAGGTACCAGGTGTTAGGACTTATCTCTTTGGGGAACACAATTCAACCACTCCATATGGTGACTACAAAACCTAGCCCAAGTTTATAACTCAGCCTTTAGTAAGTTATAACTTAGACATTGTCTAAAGTGTGTGTGTATTTGGAGGAGGAGGAAGGAGGAAGGATGGGCGAGCAGAACTCATGTGGTCAGTTGGTCTTCTTAGCTAAGTGTTGCTGTTGGAGATGGCCAGTTGCTTCCTATACATCCTGTTATGTCCAAACAAATGCTTAGTTTGGTACCTCTGTTATGGCTAAAGACTGAACCTTAGCTAATGATTAAGGAAACTTACTAATGTTTAGCTGGCGAATAACTATGCACTGCACATCTATTTAACCTTTCATTCAGAGTCTATTATTGTAAGATTATCCACCTTGACACCCTAACCCAGGAGAGTATGTTTGCTGAACTAACAAAATGCCTGGTATACTCTTAAGTGAAGAAAGAAAGGAAATAAACATGTCTTGAGTACCTAGCATATATTAAGGCTTTTCATAAATTATCACATTAGGTCCTCCTCGCACTCATCTGAAGTAGGCATTATTACTATTACTCTCATTTTACAGAAGAGAACCCTGGGCCATGGAGAGGATAAATAACTCGCCGGGGCTTATACTGCCGAGAAGCCTTGGGACTAGAAAGGAAACAGGAGCAGGGTGTGTGGGTTCGCTACCTCTTTCTCTACTTTAAATAGAATGTAGTGTTGATTAAAAAATGGAAAGTAAGTGTTGGTGGGGATATGGAGAAATTGGAACCCTCATACATTGCTGATAGAAATGTAAACTGGTGTTCTTGTCCCACCCTCAGCTTTGAGCAGCTCCTACATGCCTGTGCCACAGAGGGGCTCTTTTTCCACCCTCTTCCCCCTCCCTCAATGGTAAACCACTGTTGCTTATTACTCGGTGCTATGCGTGAGGTGAGGTCAGGGGGGTTCTTGGTTCTCCTGTCCCATACTCAGATGGGACGTGTTCCTGGGCCACAGGGATAGGCCTTTTCAGCATTCCTGCACCCACTCTTCTCTCCCTGGCATAAAAACACTGCCTTGTGTCTGTGGTGGATCTTGGGAAAGAGACAGTTTCCTGCCCCTCCCCCAGGGGTAGCAGACCTCTGCGTTGGGTGCAGGATCCTGGGCCCAAGAGGGCTCAAGGCAACCAAGGGACAATGGCTTTTGCTTCTGCTCTTCCCCCAGAAGCAGTGGATCTTTCCCTGGTTGGTTACCTTGGCAGGAAGTAGAGTTTCCTTCCCTCCCCCAGAGGCAAACAGGTTTTCCTTCTACCACTCTCCAATGGCGCTGGGAGCAAGGGAGTTTCCTGCCCCGTCCCCAGCAGCTGAAGACTTTTACTTTTTTTGAGAGGAGGGTCCTGGGAAGTGGGCAGTATTTCATGCCTGTCCCCTGTGGCAGCCTATCACCTCTAGCACACCTGTGCCATGAGGGGAACTCTGGTCTGCTGCCCCACCCCAGTCACTCTTGGAAGCACTGGCTGGAGGCCTGTGCAGAATAGCTTGCAAGTGAGTGCAAACGCTCATCGTGTCTTGTGTCTGGGGCTCCCAGTTATCTTAAACTGACAGGCCAGCCCACAGGCAGCCTTTAAGAATGTGTTAAAATTGTAGCTGCTTTCTTCTCACCCAATCCTATGGCTGTCACCTGTGCTCTGTCAAAGCTGAAACCATTTTCGTGGCCCGACTCTCCTTAGAGGGGTGTCTTACTTTTTAGAATTAAATTCTCCTGGTTTTTATGAGGACTCAGCTTTCTGAGTTTTGAGCTTTTCTCGTTGTTAGGATGAAAGCAGCATTCCCTTGTTGCTTTCTCTATCCTAAAGGGAAGCAGAACTCCCCCAAAGCCTGCTTTTTAAATCCCAGCCCTATACTTTTCCCCACAGATTTTCATTTCCAATATCTTGTGTGTACTTCACCATGTGAAACAGGAAGTGGTTGTGTCTCCTTCCTAGAACCTGCTGATCAAAAATGAGAGTTTGGAGAAATCAAGTGCTCAACACAGAGCGACCAGAATCTAGTGTTTCCCCCCTGCAGAAAATCATTCATTGAGCCACAGTTTCCCACTTGAAAAATGCAAGTGCCCCCCCTCAGGGGATCATTGCGCCTCTAAGGTATTGGAGATGCCCAAACAGCTGTAAAGCCCTTCTTTTTTGATGACTTTACCTCCTCAAGGGCCTTTCCTGCAAAGCGGCCCGCGTGGTTCCTGTGCTTTGTCTCATGGGCCCTCGCACATCCCTGTGACGCAGGAGCAGGTGGTGGTCTCCCCAGCCTTGAAACTGAGAGAAGTGAGAGGCCTGCGAGTGAAGTGCGGCCCCTGGGATCATTTGGCCCCACCAGGCCCGAATCCAGACTCTCCGACTCCAGCCCGGCCCCTCCGACTCCAGCCCGGCCCCACCTAGGCCACACCACTGTGCTGTACTAATTCTAAGGTCTCCTGGGCAAAATAAAAAAAAAAAGTCTCCACAGTCATTTGTCCAGGGTTTAAGCAATTCATTCTGTGACTCAATCCTGAAACATAAGATAGTCTAGCTTTGTAGATAGAAACAATATGCCAAATGAGATCTCGTTTGTTAGGAAGCATTTTGTGTGCTTTAGTGTTGGAAGTGTGCCCTGTGGTGGACTCCCAGCCTGAAGGCCTGGTGTCTTTTTGTCTTCTTCTGCAGCTCTCGTTGGCGCCTGCGGTGGGAACTACTCAGCCATGACTTCCGTGGTCTATTCCCCTGACTTCCCCGACACCTACGCCACGGGAAGGGTCTGCTACTGGACCATTCGGGTTCCAGGGGCCTCCCGCATCCACTTCAGCTTCCCCCTGTTTGACATCAGGGACTCGGCGGACATGGTGGAACTGCTGGATGGCTACACCCACCGCGTCTTGGCCCGCTTTCATGGGAGGAGCCGCCCGCCCCTGTCCTTCAATGTCTCTTTGGACTTTGTCATCTTGTATTTCTTCTCTGACCGTGTCAATCAGGCCCAGGGATTTGCTGTCTTATACCAAGGTAAGAGGCTCTCACCTCCATGGGGGCCCTTCAGGGCCTGTGTTCTTCGAGCTTCTTTTCCTCACCATGTGACTTGAGGACGACCCCTGGGCAGTTCTTGCCGGGTGGACTGGGAGTCAGGAGCGACTGACTCAACTTGCAGATTACCCCAAGGCTGCAGCTCTTTCCCTACCTCCCATTTCACAACTTGTTTACATTTCATGATATAGGAAAGAGGTAAAACCTGTCAATTTTGCTATTTTTTTTAGAGACAGAGACAGGGCCTCGCTCTGTCGCCCAGACTGGAGTGCATTGGCACAATCATAGTTCACTGTAACCTCAAACTCCTTGGCACAAGCAATCCTCCCACCTCAGCCATCCAAGTAGCTGAGACTACAGGTATGCGCCACCATGCCTGGCTAATTTTTTCATTTTTTTGTAGGGACAGGGTCTTACTCTGTTGCCCAGGCTGGTCTTGAACACCTGGCCTCAAGCCATCCTCCCACCTTGGCCTCCCAAAGCTTGGATTATAGGCGTGAGCCACCACACCCAGCCTATTTTAGTAGTTTTAATGACAGTTTTCATGGGAGGGTTAAAAGAATAACTGAAGAAAAAGCTGAGATTGGTAGAACTGGAAGGCTCTCAAAAGGTCATTTTGTCCATCTTCCTGCCTCTAATCATCCCAGCCAATCCCACAAAACTGATTGACCATCTTTCTTCAAGCCCTCCTAAGGTGGAGCCATACTCTCTGCCCCTGTAATGTGAACATGTGTGCTGGGCATGCCTCTTTGCCAGCACACGAGAAACACAGATGGTGTCCGAGACCTAGTCTTTTTCCTAGATAGCAAACCTCGAGAAGAGTTCGGGTAGCGTGTGCTACAGGAGATTGGTGGGAGAGGCCTCCATGCAGATGGGACAGTCTTGAGGAACAGGTGAGATTTGAGTCGATAAGACAGGAAGGAAGAGGGCCTTCCAGGGAGAGGGAGCCACAGCTGCAAAGTACAAGGGTGAGGAAACTATAAATCATGCTCAGGCATCCCAGAGGAGACCAGCCACATAATTAGGAGTTGACAGCTCCATCCTTCTGCCTCCTGCAGGGGCAGGGCCTGGCAAGTTCTGCTCTGGGGCAAGTGGGACCAATGGAAGGAATGTACCTGGAATTGAATCAGAGAAAAAGGCCTTTTCTTCACAACCAGTGCTTTCCCCTCTACATAGTTCTTCATTGTCTCCATAGCTCTCTCCCCAGTTAATTCCTTTTGATCTTCCAGCCGTCAAGGAAGAACCACCGCAGGAGAGGCCCCCTGTCAACCAGACACTGGCCGAGGTGATCACGGAGCAGGCCAACCTCAGCGTCAGCGCCGCCCGGTCCTCCAAAGTCCTTTACGTCATCACCACCAGCCCCAGCCACCCACCTCAGACTGTCCCAGGTAGCAATTCCTGGGCACCATCAATAGGGGCTGGAAGCCGCAGAGTTGAAGGTAGAGCCCTGGGCAGTGACAGAAACCAAAGCACTCTTGGGTGTTTCTCGTGCAGGGGCAGGTGGGGGTACTGGCTCTGACCTGTAGTCTGTCTTAGCCTTTGAGGGACATCTTCATCAGCTTGGTTCCTTAGTCCTTAGGAAAAAATGTTCAATCAATCAACTAATCCAGTGTCTTCTCACATTGAGATTATCTTTCTAGAGCCCCAAGTTATAGCTCCGTGAATTCATTGACATTTGCAAGAGCTTCATTCATTCATTCATTCATTCAAAAGATATGTAAGTGCTTCAGCAGTTTCAGGTACTGTTCTAAGCACTGGACTATATTCAGTGAACAAAATAAAATCCTTGCCCTCTTGTGGCTTCTGAGTGAGAGGAGCAAGACAAGAAACAAAATAAAAAGTCAGATAGTGGTAAGAGCTATGAAGAAAAGTCATGCAGGAGAAGGATAGGGAATGGGGGATGACCTTTTGTGGTTTAAGCTGGCCAACCTGGTTGGGTACATACTTCCCCAGTTCCTCTTTTCTGCCAAGGAAGGGGTACCTTTATGTCCTGGAGAGTGCCATAAGCGGTGACCTAGCCTAGAGGCTTTCAAATTGCTCTCCAGGCCCCTGCAGGACCCACCATAGAAGGTTAGGGAGGAGGACCTCTCCAGCACTTGCTCTGCGTCATTTGGCTGTGGATGTTGGTAGCTTTTTTTTTGGTTTGAGATGGGGTCTCGCTCTGTTGCCGGGCTAGCGTGCAGTGGTGTTATCACAGATCACTGCAGCCTCCAACTCCTGGGCTCAAGCAATCTGTCTGACTCAGCCTCCCAAGTAGCTGGGACTACAGGCATGTGCCACCACACCCAGCTAATTTTTTTATTTTTTGTAGAGACAGGGTCTTACTATTGCCGAGGCTGGTCTCAAACTCCTGGGCTCAAGCAATCTTTTCACCTTGGCCTCCCAAAATGCTAGGATTACAGGTGTGAGCTACCACGCCCAGCCATCTGGTAGCATTTTATAGGTCACACATTTCATTTCTCAGAAGAGGAAAATTGAGGCCCAAAAAGTTTATGCAACTCATCGGTGGTTACATTGTTGTTCCAGTGGTAGAAACAGAATGTACACCACCCCTTTCAACTCTGAGTCCAATGTACTTTAGATCATACCGCCTGCCTCTCCCTGAGAGAGAGTTCTAGAACAAGGCAAGGTACTCAGAAAGCCTGGGTCTCAATGCCCAGGCCAGCTTGCAGCTGCTCCTGCTGCCACATTTGCTGGCTGTTCCCCACCTGCAGGAAGTCCTCAGCCAGACCTGCATCTCCGAGCTGTTGGTGTTCACTTGGGTCTTCCCGCAGACCTCCTTTTACAAACCAAGCACAAACAGGTCCAGTAAACTCTGTCTCTTACAATTGCAGGATGGACAGTGTATGGTCTGGCAACTCTCCTCATCCTCACAGTCACAGCCATTGTAGCAAAGATACTCCTGCACGTCACGTTCAAGTGAGTACGAGAAAGAGCTGCCTGGTTCCAGGAAGGGGAAGGCTCGGAATTCCTTTTATACTATGTTTCATTTGTCCAGATCCAATTATAATATCAGAACATAATTCCAAAGCCCTCAGTCCTAGACGGCATAAGGCAATAAACGTTCCTCCTTCTCTGTAGAGTGAAATGTCAACTGGACAAATCTCATCAAGGTTTGAGGGATTGTGTTTGTTCTTATGTCCAAAAGATATGATTTCACGGAGGATTGTAACAGTCCAGGCTTAAAAAGCAACACTTTCCATTTTGCTAGTCAGAGATCTTTATGCTAGGGTTAAAATTCCTAGGACAATGCCATGCATACTTCCCAATGCCTTCTAGAAATTAGGAAACGTCTTAGGAAGAGAATGCTAACATTTTAGTCACTATTGCTTAATAATTATTTTTAAACAATTATTGAAGAAATTTACAGAAGCTTCATCCTTCAATTCTGACCAATTTGGGAAAAAAAAATTCTTCCTTTATTTTGCTGCTTGGGTTTCATAGTTCCACCTCCAGCAAAAGGGCAATTGTTTATGCTACTGATGTTTCTGTATTTACAGAAGGAACTTCCTTCTAATCTTTTTCTAGACTCCTGCTCTGTCTTCCCTGTATTTCCTAGTCCAGGCTCTCCCCATTTTATGGCCTTCCTGAAAATTGATGTCCAATAAAAGCCCCCTTTTTTCCTGACCTTCTCACTTGCCCTCTCTTACAGATTTTTTATACATTAAATGCAGGCTCCGCCACTGCCCTGTGAAGGCTGCCTTTGTCCATATTGGGACCACCTTATATAGACATCTCTGCCCTACACTTGAAATTTTTCAGTGGAAACGGTGTCCTTATTATTGTTTACTAAGCTCACTCTCATGCCTTTTAAATTATATATATATATTTCTTTTTTTTCTTAAGTCACAATTTACATGCTCTAGGGAAGACTCTCAGGCACAATCCTATCCACGTCCCCTGCAGAGCAGGATGCTTTCTGTAGGGTCCAACATCTGAGCATGGCTGAGGCCCTAAAGTGCACGCCTAACTCCCCTCTGACATTGGAGTCCCTCTGCAGCTTCCCTGCCAAGCAGCCGCGGCTGACACAGGGTCTGGGCCAGTACCGGAGGTTAGGCAGGTCTCTGCTTGAAGCAGAGAAGTTCTGCCTTTATCCTGCTTTAGCTAGGTGGGTTTCCAGGTAAATGGCATTAGAAGACAGAGTTCTTTTATCTAAAAAAATTTTTTTGAAAATTCATATTCTCTCAGACCATTCTGCTAGTTAGAAGGTTCTTTGTTATTCTGAGATGGAATCTCTCTCGCCGCACAGGCCATATTTCATCCACATGATAGTCCTTTAGATCTTTAAAGGTCCGAAACCTCAGTCTGCCTAACTTCCCATTTCTTAGGGACGGTATCTCATGAGGTGGTAGGTTGTTCTGGGTGCTTTGTTCTGATCTGCTGGATTATCACTGTTATTTTTGTTTGACAGATCCCATCGTGTTCCTGCTTCAGGGGACCTTAGGGATTGTCGTCAACCAGGGACTTCAGGGGAAATCTGGAGCATTTTTTATAAGCCTTCTACTTCAATTTCCATCTTTAAGAAGAAACTCAAGGGTCAGAGTCAACAAGATGACCGTAATCCCCTTGTGAGTGATTAAAAACCCCACCATGGACAGGAGGTCCCTCTTTGAGCTCAAGCCTGCTGGGGTTGACCTCTCCTGTGGTTCTTCTCCCACTGACTCTTCCCTGCCTCTCCCTCCACCTGGGCCTCTTCAGGGACCCCCTCCCACAGACTGGGAAGGGGCGCCGTAGCCCGGATTCCTCCTGCTTCATCAGCTGCACTTGGGAGAGACCCTGAAGGCCCTAGGGCTTGGCCCTGTCTGCATCTCTCTCTCTCTGATCTAGCAACGGGGTTGCCGGGATAGTGGGGTCGAGAGGACGGAGACGGTCATGGCTGGCACTGGGCTTAGGTGCATTCTAGATGACATAGGGTGATGGGTAGGTTTAGTGTACATGGAGTCTTTCTTGTTTCTTCTCTATTTTGTCCACACGCAGATCAGTTTCTCCTGGTCTTTGCGGTTTGGAACAGGGCCAGACAGGGAGAATTCTCAGGCTCTCTTGGGGGTTGGCCTGGTCCCACCTGAGTGTGGACTCCTGGACATTAGCAAAGAGTAAGGGGGCTGGTGCTCTGCTGACCCTAGAGCCTTGCTCTCTGGATGCTGGACTAGGACAGGATTCCTCCAACCTGGGGGCCTGAATAGGGTCTAAAACCCCCATTCATTCACGTCAAACCTGACACCTTCCCCACACAGGTTTCTTTCTAGATTCTTCTTTCCATAGCTCAGTAACCTGCAGAGCAAGCTGGAGGAGTGGGCATATAAAACATTCATTCATTTATTCATGCAACAACCTCTACTGAAAGCTTTGATAGACCTGTCAGATGGGATTTATCTGGCCTCGCCCCCGGGCAGCTCACTGTCCTGTGGAACCTGAGCCAGGACTGGCCTCTCTGTGACTCTCAGCCGACTCTCGGTTCTGAACAGGGAGTATAAACATTGTGCTTTAGCCTTTAGGCAGCATGATGTGAGACATGGGGCCCTCGGGCCCTCCTTGAGGTGTCTCGCATTTTAAAAGAAGATGAAAACCACCTGGGGGGCTGTGCTCTTTTCTGTGTTCCCTTCTGGGAAGCCAGTGGGGTTGGGAACAGCTTGGGGGAATGGGAGGACTCTTGTTCCTGGCCCCACACTACCCTGCCCCTTAGATAGGAAACTGCAGAGATTGGTGTGAGGGGAGGTAGGGTTTGGGAACTGAAGATCCTCTGAGGACAGGCACTAATATTGAGAGCTCCAGCTGCAGTGGCCACCAGTTGGGAGAGTAAGTTAAGTGCCATCTCTAATTTAGCAGTCCCTGCCAACCGGAAGCAGGTTTTGTCAGCAGCAGCTGAAAAGAGCAGCCTGTGCCTTTGTCGGAGCGTGCCTCTCCCAAAGGCACCTGGGCCTTGGTAGTTGTTGCTGCTGGCCTTTGGGTTCCCTCTTTGGAGCACTTTGCCTACCTCTCCCAAGTCCCTAAACCACTGCCTGCTCTGGCCCCTACTGGGGTTCTGGCAACGCATCTGTGCCTGACCCCTCCTGGGAGAGCAGAGGGTGTTATACGGGGCCAGCTGGGAAGTGTCTGCAGCAAGAGGTGACACTCGGCAACATGAGCCCAGGAGGGAGGCTTGGAGCTTCGGTCTGAGGGGCATTCGGTGGAGGGAAATGGGGAGGTGTGTCCACAGGTGGGCAGGGTGCTGCCCCAGGCACCATGGGAGGCCCTGCGGAGGGCACGGAGCCACCCAGTGCTGTCTTCGCGCTTTGATCTGGAAAGGGTGATTACCCAGGCGCAGCTGCCTGCAGGCCCCTGGGTCTGGAGGCAGAGGCCTATCACACACAAGGACCACTGGAAATATGTCAGCATGTGCAATCTCCCCTCCAAGCTATTTGTGGCTTTTGTGGAATCTCCTCTCGAATGCAAGTGTCAGGTGTGTGTAGTCCCAGAGGGCGCTGTGCTGGGAATAGATCCGTTCTCAGCACAGAGGGAATGTGGCATTTGGCCCCAGGAAGGGTCTGCCTGGCTGAGGGGCAATTGTTCAGCTGCCTAGGGCTAAGGCTGGTCTCCGGCCTGTGGGGTGTCCACAGGCTTGCCCGCCCACCTTGTCCCCTCACCTCTCAGGCCATGCCCACACTGGTGTGGTGTCAGAGCCTGCAGGATTGACTTACTGTCCTTGGAGCAGCCCTGCGAAACCCAAACCTGCCTCAGGGCAACATGGGGGAAGGAGGGCTGTAAATTGTCCCAGGCCAAACCTCCATAAACCCATAAACATGGGGTCCCCTGCAGCCTGGCCATGGCCTCCGAACCTGTCAGCAACACCTTACAGGGAGCCCCTGACACTAAGTAAACACCTGAGAAATAAATTACCCCAGAAGAGATGAGATGGGCTTCCAGGAGCACTGAAGGAGGAAGCACTTGATCTTTTAAGAACCTCCTTTAAAAGATAGAAAGTGGGTGTTGGAGGTGACTGGAAGAGGATGACCCTGAGGAATGTAAATGACAGAATGCGTAGCAGAAGGATATGGAAGAGGCAGGGAGGGGCTTCGGGGATCACTGTGCACGTGCTCTGAGAACACCCTGCCCACAGCCTCTTTAAGGTGACCGAGCATGGGAGGAGGCTGCAGGGGGTGCTCAGGTCTGAGTGCCATCCTTACCCCTGTTCACTGCTGGCACCAGGCCTGTGCCTGGCGTGTGCTCCAACAGGAGGGCCCTCGACAGCCCATCTTGTTGCCTCCCGTGGTGACTGCACCTGGGAGTGGATTGGCCGGCTGGTCTCTAGTGGTGTTTCCCAGGGTCCTTGGCCCCTCTGACGTGGCGGGCAGGAGGCAGTTGGTGCCCTGTGTTCTTCCATGCTTGTCTAATCGCTTGCAAAGCAGAGAATGAGTAGGAATGAACTGCCACAGCAGGACAGGGTTGAGGCCTCTCTGGTGAGCGAGGGAACTGGGCTGCTCTAACTTCTGAAGAGTGGGCTCTGGCTCAAGACTCCAGTCAGCGAGAAGCCCACAGAGATCAAAGCAGGAGCAAGTACAGCTGTCCTGGCCCCGGGGCCCAGCCGTGGGGCGTGCCTGGGCACGGCTTCACCCACACGCCCCATTGTCAGCCTAGACAGGATCCGCCTGCAGGCTGGCCAGGCATCACCCAGCCCCATGTGTCCTGGACACGCACACGTACTCTTCACGGGCACTCATAAGTGGCTGTCCTCCGGAATCCTGCTGCCCTTGCCTGCTGAGGCCACACCAGTGATCCCACAGAGCCCAGTCACCTGGCACCCTGTTGGGTTTCAAATCTCCTGTTGGTGTTGATGTCTGCTTTTGTTAACTACCTTGGAAATGTTTAACCTTTTGATTGTTTCCTCTGGCGTCTTTGTTTACCTTCCTCACTGTTCTACCTCCTGGCCAGGTCTCTCAGCTTAGCTGCCCTGGTGTGGGGTGTTTTCCAAACCTTCCAGCCACAGCTGCCCCCCTCAGGCTGGACGGCTCAGAGGTGACAGGGCTTCTCCTCTGCCTGCAGACCCTCAGCCTGCAGACCTCCAGTGGGCCCATCTCACAGGTTCAGTCTTAACCAGCTGAGCACAGTCAACAAGGCAGAAGTGTGTGGAGGAAAGTCAGGTAAATCTGCTTCAGAAGCGAAGTGTCTTTAGAAGCACAGCCTGGAGGTCCCTTCCCTGCCTACATGGGGAGCTGCCGTCCTTGGGATTCATGCACATTAAGACCTTCCCCATCCAAACTCACCTTCCAGCAGGGATTTGACTTTGGATGACAAGGCTTTATTTGTAAATATGCGCTTAATATGCAACTTTGAGAATAAAATAGAAACATCATGTATTTTAAAATATAAGATGAAGTGTGACGCACTGTATACAATTTAATATATATTTTTAGGATTTTGTTATTTAAGAAAATGGAATGTAATGGTACTTAACTTTTACAAAAGAGAAAAAAATGTTATTTTTACTGTCTGGAGAAAATAAATATTCTCATTGTTGTAGAAACAGTGACGGGCCCTAGGCTGTCGTTTTTATGGGAGCCCCCCAGAGACCGAGGGACAAGAGGAAGGAGTCATGTGATGGAAATTCTGAACTCCAGGCCTCACCCTTTGCTTGCTTTTTCCTAGTAGTGGCGCCAGATTCCCTCCAGTCTTGTCATGGCTTTGATTCTCAGTGGACCTTCAGCCGGTAAGCCCTGAACAGCAGGAATTCCACATCAACCCAACTCCCCGATGGGATACCGGGGATTCCCAGGAGAAGAACACAGGGCTGTGCATGTGGAAAGATCCAAGTCTGAACAGGCCTCGAGTCGGTCAGTCTGCCTCTCTGCCTCAGTTTCCCCACCTGGAAACCATAATTGAATCTATTCCTCAGGAGTTATGAAGATTAAGTGAGAAAAATGTATCCAAAGGGCTTATGTAATTACTACCCCAGGTGGAATTGATCTTGCCTCTTAGAGCAGCCAGTTCTTCCCCCCACCCTTTCCTTTTCAATACTAATGGAAGCTGTACACGGGAGCGGCCTGCCATGTGCCAGGCACTCTGCTATTAGGCACTGTGCATCTCCCAACAGCCCTTTACAGGTTGTTACCACCTTCACACCATTGTCCCTATTTTGCTGATGAGGAAACTGAGGCTCCGAGAGGCAGTGTGCCACAGTAGTTGGGAGCACAGCCGTCCACTCGCTAGCTGTGAGGCCAGTGTGAGTAAAAGCGGGAGCCTCTGAAGGGTTGCAGCAGAGGAGTGACATCAGATCCCAGTTTGGAAAGACTTCCTCCTTGCGTTCAGGAAAACATCAGAGTCGGGTGAGATGGAGAGCACGAGACCAGTCTCGGGGCAGAAAGATGCACAGGTGCATCTGAGAGACGCGGGGGGCCCACCCAGGCCCCTGTACACCAGTGCTGGGGAGAGAGAGGGCAGCCTCACCCACGGGACAGGGCTCACACCCCAACTCCACCACTCACGACGTGACCTTGGACAAGTAACCCAGCCCTGTGCACCTGTTTTCTCATCTGTCACGTGGGGGCAGTTATAGCACCTGCCTTTGTGATGCTGGGACATTGGGTTGTATGAATTATTAGCTGTTGTATGTTTTCAGTGAATGGCAGATGTTCCTTCTATGCTAGAATAGAGGCGGGGGTAAGGACAAGGAGTTGTCTAGGATGGTGCTCAGGTAACCTGACTTGGGTGCCTGGGGGGAGAGTGGGGCCATTCTTTGAGATAAGAAACATACAAGGCACCAGGTGTCAAAGGAGACCTGAAGAGTTCCATCTGGGCTGAGTCCAGTGGGGTCCCTGTGAGGACGGAAGCAGAGCCATCCAGCAGGCATTGGACAGGTGCCCGAGACCCACACACAGATCTGGCCCGGGGAACACAGTCCATGGAAATGTGGGCACAGATGACATCCTTGGGGTGTCTGGGGCAATCCTAGAAAGCTGCTGAGGACAGCTGGGACACACTGCGGGGGCACCTGCACAGGGCAGGGCGGTGGGGGGAGGCGGTGACTGGAGAAGGGGACTTTCGCAGAAGCCAAGGAACACTTCTAACCTGCCTGGTTCAGGCACTTTCAGCCTGCTGGTTCTTTGAGTCCCAATTCCAAGTTCTCAGGAGATGACTTGGCCAGGTGAAGTCTCTCTGGACCAGCCAGTTTTTGCTAGGATATGGGGTTCTTGGGAAAACGGGGGCACAGGCCAGTCTCACAAGCGAATATCACCACCACCTGAGACACAGACACAGTTCTCAGGGTGTGATGCGTTAGCCCTTTGCTTGGGAATCCCTGTGTGCTGGTGGACTGGCAGGCGCCCGGCCGAATCCCTGCGAGGCTTTGGGGATGACTCTGATGCTCACCAAAGTCTGACGCCCACTTTCATTTGTTTGGGAAATCAAGTTGTCACCTCCTGTGAAACAAATTGTCCACACTTAGACAGCTGTGCAAGTTCCAGTCGCCATTTCCTTCATGGACGGCAGTGGGTTTGTTACTTGACTGCAAAGACTGTTTCAGCCCAGAGATTCGTTGCAGGACAGAGAGGTAGGGGTGGGGTGGGTGCAGCACAGCAGTTATTCCAGATGCTTCTCTGGAAGGGGTATTGCCTTGACATGCCCTTCCCTTTGCCATTGTCCCCTCCCCGGCTAACTTCTGCCCTGCTGCTGCTGTGGCTGTCGCACTATGACAGCACCTTTAAAGGTCAGCTTTCCTTGTTTGCCTTCCCTGAGCTTGCTTTCTCTTTCCCAGAAGCTCTTTCCTTCCACCGAAGGAAAATATTTTTAATGGCAGGAATGGCTGGTGGAAAACAAATGGGGTGGTCTTGCTGGTAAATTTCTTAGAGACAAATTGGGCTGCAACAGAAAAATAAATAAATGCAGTCAGAATGTGCAACTGTCCTACCTAAAAAAACCCCTTAGGATTATGGGACAAGGGGGACAGGAAGAGACCCCCAAACTCACTCGAGTGGACTTTGGGGACCACTGGCCTTAACCTCCTCTCCCGTGTTCTCCGGAACCTGAGAGAAGCAGACATTGTAAAACCCACACCCAGGAGCCAGCACCAGGGCAGCGTCCGCCTCACCCTTTGTCGGGCAGTCAAAGCTCGTCTTCCTGTGGAGGGGAAAAGGGTTGGACAAGGGTGACCTTGTCTCCAAGCTTGGAAGTCACATGACCATCTTCTCTCCCCACTGGGCTGTGCATGTCTGAAACTGCAGACAGTCTCTGGGACTCAGAGAACTGGGAAGCTTTTGTTCCTCTGTGGCGAGGTCGGGTCCCCGTGGGGGATTGTTTTTGCTCAGCCAAAAAGGACACTTTGGGGATAGAATATTTCAACCTCAAGAAGCAGCAACATTTGCTTGTCGCAGGAAGTCTTTGTTTCTGGTCTCCAGCTGTTGTCTGGAGCCACCAGGCCCCAGCTGAATGGGCCTATGCCCGGCAGCTGGGGGCAGGCAGTGCGGGGCTGTGCTGAACGTGGACCAGGACACCCTTTGGGGGACCTGCTACTTGCATATTATCATGTGAATGTGTTTAGTTAACTTGCCTTGGTCGCTAGTACCAACGATAAAGATCAGGAGCCCTCAAAGCACACTCGAAGGTCCTACCTAACCAAACACAGGGGCAGCTTTTTATGGGTCTGAGTGAGTTGAGGAAAGAGCTTTTTGAATACGCAAGGAAAATCATAGTAATAACAGCTGCCATTTTTGCCAAACCCGCTATGTGCCAGACACTGTGCCAAGCACCCAACAGACATTACTGAATTCATCTTTGCAACAACCCAACAAGGAAACCAAGGCTCAGAGAAGGGGTCCAGCCAGGGGCAGGCAGGGCAGGACTCAGCCCAGGTCCACTGGCTCCAAAGCCAGGCCCCTCCCGCCTGGGAGCTCATCTTCAAGGATGTTGCCTCCAGACAGCCCCAGAAAGTACAGATCAGTTAGCCTGGGGCAAGGAAGGCATCAAACCTACACTTCTTCTCCTATTTGAGGGCACAAACCCTTTTGAGAACCAGAGGAGTGGATGGAGCCCCTTCCCCAAAAAATACCCCACCCACTGAACTGTGCATGGCAATTCTAGAGGTCCAGAGACCCCTCCCCCAAGCCCTTCCAGGGACTTCAGGTTTGGAATCTCTCCATTAAGCCATAAGCAGGTTATCTGAAAGTTAAAAATGAGACCAGAATGGATAACAATAACAGTCATAATAATAATAGTAACCATGGACACATTTTACTGACCACTTACTGTCAGGCACTTATGCCAGGGGTCGGCAAACTTTTTCTGTAAGAGGCTAAGTTCTAAATATTTTAGACTTTGAAGGCCATACGGTCTCTGATCCATTTACTAGAACCACAGACTGGCCACTGGGACCCTCAGTGACCCCATCACAAGCCCTGGAGCCATCTGGGCAGCTCTGTGAGGGGCAGGGGAGTAGAGGGCAATGAGGGGCCCTCAGGGCCCCCTTGATATTAGCCACAGACAATATGTAAACAAATGGGCATGGTTGTGTTCCGATAAAACTTTGTGGACACCAAAACTTGAATTTTATATAACTTTCACATCACAAAATACTATTCTTTTGATGTTTTTCCCCGAACAATTAAAGAATGTAGAAACCATTCTCAGCTCGTGACCACACAAAAACAGGTGGCAAGGCCAGGCGGGAGGCTGAGATGGGAGGATTGCTTGAGCTCAGGAGGTTGAGACTAGCCTGAGCAAGACTGAGACCCCATCTCTGGTAAAAATAGAAAAAGTTAGCTAGGCATTGTGATGCACGCCTGTAGTCCCAGCTACTTAGGAGTCTGAGGCAAGAGGATTGAGTCCAGGAGTGGAGGTTGCTGTGAGCAAGGCTGAGGCCACTGCACTCTAGCCCTGGGCGACAGAGCGAGACTCCGTCTCAAAAAAACCAAACCAAACAAAACCAAATAAAAAAAACAGGTGGCAAGCCCTAGAACATGGTTTACCGCCCCCTGCACTATGCTAACCGCTCTCCACACATTATCTTCACATCTATACTGGTTAGGCATTGCTTCTGTCCCCATTTGTCAGATGAGGAAAGATTAGCAGAGGTTAAATAACTCATTCACACCCCCAAGCCTGTTTGCTTTCCTAAGATACAAGATGGGTGAGTTTAAATTGTGGATAAAGGGAGGGAAAGGTGGTGGGGTAGGAAGGAGGACCCTAACGCCATGGTGGCACCCTGGGCCTGGGGAATAGAAGAGAGAGAGGCCCCTTCCTCCCCGGCCTTTGCTTAAATGATCCGCACCGCAGGGGAGGGCGGCGCGTTTCCTGAGCTGTTCCTCAGCCCCAGCCAGTGGCTCCAAGGACGGAGGCTCCAGATCCAGGACAGCTGGTGGCCTTCACATTGTTTTGCGTCTCCCAGGTTCTCTTAATTATAACCAATTTGCCACCCTCAGCAATTCCTTGTTCCTCTTCGCTAATACCCATGAGTTGGAACCATCAGCCGGACTCCCAGCCAAACGCTGGGCTACAGTCACTTCCCCTTCCCATGCAGGGAGCCCTCCA